AGACCGGAGCTCAACGCTTGGCAGGGCATATTTCTTGAGTTTCGAAAATTTTGGAAACGCATTTTATCGTTCCTTAGTCTTATCATTCCTAGTCTAAAATTGTTTCATGGCAAAAAACCAGATAACTATCTGCAGTTCTGTAAAGATACAAACATACTCGTACGTTCCGCTACAGCGCAGTACAGCTTTTTCCAGTGATTAGTGATTACTCATGTACTATGTTTCTGATTTCCCTACCATTCTAGCAGCTGAAGATGTTTTCATTTGTCAACCGGCATAAATTAAACGCAATAAATTAATCCCAAGGTAGCACTGCAAAATTGTTTTTACTAGTTCTTAAGTAAAGATTCTTTTGTCTGAGCAAGACTTAGAAGTTTGCATTGCTATAATTACGCAAGAAGCCTATATTGCATTGGTCAGTATGGCGCCCTTGAGTTTAGCTTGGTACTTAATCTCCCGAGAAAAGGTAAAAAACAAAATAATGTAAAACAAAATAAGTAATACAAAACGTCTCCTGTAAACACCATATTTTACGGTCACATGATTAGCACCACAACGGCTTGTGTCCCGTTGAGCATTTAAGGTGACCTGCCTGTGAAAACCAATTTTTACTTCCTTATATGACATCATTTTTTGCTTCCTTTTATGGTGTCATTTTATTTCCGTAACCGCAAAACAGACAGTTGTTATTTAAGCCTAAATTATAGGACCGGCGCTGCGCTCCGTTCGAGAATTGCGTAACAAAACCTAAGAAAAGTATACGAACTTTTGAGTCTGTAATCATTATACATTGAAAATGGGTGTTGTTTTCATTGAATTGCGCAAAACATGTACGACTACTTTTGATAACTAATTCTAAGAATAAAGAAGGTAGCATGCCGACTGAGACTATGTACGTGGTTCCATTGTGGTTCTATGGTGGTTTTATGGAAGTTCTATGGTGGTTCTACGTGGTTCTATGGGAGCCGGAAAAGAAGGGGCAGTGTGGGGCATGCCGGCACCTCGTTATTTACCTGGTTCCATTGTGGTTCTATGGTGGTTCTATGGAAGTTCTATGGTGGGAGCCGGAAAAGAAGGGGCAGTGTGGGGCATGCCGGCACCTCGTTATTTACCTGGTTCCATTGTGGTTCTATGGTGGTTCTATGGAAGTTCTATGGTGGGAGCCGGAAAAGAAGGGGCAGTGTGGGGCATGCCGGCTGATCGTTATTTACCTGGTTCCATTGTGGTTCTATGGTGGTTCTATGGAAGTTCTATGGTGGGAGCCGGAAAAGAAGGGGCAGTGTGGGGCATGCCGGCTGATCGTTATTTACCTGGTTCCATTGTGGTTCTGTGTTGGTTCTATGGAGGTTCTATGGTGGTTCTATGTGGTTCTATGGGAGCCGGAAAAGAAGGGGCAGTGTGGGAGCATGCCGGCTGTTCGTTATGTACTTGGTTCCATTGTGGTTCTATGGTGGTTCTATGGAGGTTCTATGGTGGTTCTATGTGGTTCTATGGGCTTCGGAAAAGAAGAGGCAATGTGGGAGCATGCCGAATGTTTGTCATGTACCTGGTTCCATTGCATTTTTATGGTGGTTTCATGGAGGTTCTATGGTGGTTCCAGCTGCATGGAACCAGTAATCCACTAATGTCCTAACTTGGACATTCTCTCATAGTGCTTGTGCAAGTTGTGCATATCGACCCAGACCGTCGGAATAAATAATATTTATTGTACAGTCTTGTTTTCTTTAATTATTAAGTTATTATAATAAAAATTTATTGTAATCTCACAGTGTCATTACAATAATGTGAATATTCTTGGATTTCTTCCTCTTATTGTTAGCGTTGAAGTAAGCAAATAATTCGAAAGTCTTTAGATACCAGACTAGCGGCAAATAAGCTTGAAAAACAGTATAATGGGCATTATCAAACGTTTCTACTTGGCATTGAGCGACTGGCCAGGCGCTAGTGTTCATATGTTCGCCGGGAATTCCAAGCAGACAACCGATTTCCGCACAAAAAAAGCTGTAACTGAGCGGCCATTAGGCAACAAGCGACAATGGAATAGCGTCTAATATCGTAGGGCAAAGAACACTGACAGTTGGCATAATCGCACTCGCAAATCGCATTCCCAGTATCTAGTATCCACTCGTATTACAAATTACCGGCCCTGCTGCGTGTTCTTCATGGAACAACCATCAGCTGTGTAGTCTGGACAATCCACTCATGGGTGTCCCGGTACGGACGGAACAGACACTGCACGTATCCGGCATCGGCCTGAGTGACCCGTTCGAGATAATACGTATATCTCAGTAGCTGACTGGGATTGTTGGTAGCAAGGTCCAGCTGGAAACTGGCATTGGCCTGTCGGACCTGTTCACGTTCGGTGGTACCGGCCGACCTTAACCCTCCATATGGTCCCTCCGTGGGACCTTTGAGGATGCGCCCATTATGGCGCCACATAATATGTTGCTGAATACTTCTGTAGATATTGTCATCCAGTGGCAAGTGGATACTGCATGACAATGTGAAACGATCACCTTCGGTCACGCTCTGGTAGGGAGGGACGGACGCAGCGAAGACGTCGCTAGATCTCGTGAGCTGCGGTACCAACAGGTAGCGCCGCAGAACGCGACGCTGACCAGTATGGGCGGGATCGGACGGTTCCATGATGCATTGCACCACGCCTCCGGAACGCATCGAGACGTGGCGAATAAGAAGATCGTATGTATCTGTATGGTATCCGGGCTCCAGCCTGTACCACTGTCCCCAATCGTCTTCGAATTCTCGTGGTGACCCCTCTTTACTCGAATTATAAACGATCCGGTCTTGCAACTGCCAGTACACGGTGTGCCGATAGTTGACGGCCGGTGCGGTACACCGCAATAGTACGTCATCTCCCGGGAGCGGTCGCAACACTTTGCTGTCCGGCACATCGTGCGCAAGGGGCAAGCGCGTCAAGGCAATGACGTCTTCTCCGCGGTTACGCCAGCGCATGGCCTCTGTCACCATGTCGTTAACTATCAAAAGAGCCCGTAAAGATTTCATCTGACACCTTCGTATGTTCTCAACTTTTCATTCCGGAAATTAAATTTCATAAACGATTGTGATAACTGTTTCTCTACTAGACTCACATGTGGAAAGTTGTTACGTCGTTGTCGAAGAATGTGGTTGTTTGTAACGCACAAAGGTGACCTATCAGACCTATCAGCTTATTGTGACCATGTACTTTATCCAGTGTACTCCACCAGCACTCTTGCAGCAACCGCATTCCCCTTTTGGATTTGTAAATTTTGTATCATGCAAGTCCGTGTAAGGCGCACCATGTTCTGAGGTCACCGCGAGCGCTGAGGGAGTCCCCTAGCCTGTGTCAATCCCCAAAAGACACCTTCTAGTTCTACTTTGTAGATCGCTCAACAGTTTTTGAAAGGGTACGCGCAAGAATATTTGGCCTGGCCCAGTTTTAATAGGTAAGTTACAGGCCCCCGAAAAATTATCACCACCCCAACCCCTAATATCCCGCTGGGCCCCTCTTTACCATGTCAAACGATTGCAGTTACGACACTGTTGGATTCGTAATGGAAAGCTATAGTAGAAAAGAATTAAAAAAACAATCTGGCGTACACGACTTTGTATTGTGCTGCAAATGTCCGAACTTGGCGCGACACCCTTGTATTTGCCAGAACAGGAGCAGCGGACGGAGGTGGTTATAATTTCTAACGATGCTCTATCAAAAACCACAAAACTACGATAACCACCAACTAAAATTAATAATTTTGCTTTTGGTGTACACTGTACTGATGGCCTTCTGCCGTGACCTAAGAGCTGGATTTTCCCGGTGCTCCTGATGCGCAGCTGCAGCTTAGTTTATTCGGCGTTACGGCGGCGCCTATCGCGAGGGACCGCCGGGTCATTGTCTGCCGCAGACCGTCGGCATTCACACCGACCGGCGAACGTTGCAGCCACCTGCGAAATAACCGGCGCCCATAATGATCGTTGCCCGGCGCCCCCTACCGCAGTACCGCTCCCGCTCGATTCAACGGTAGACGACGTATTTTCCCGAATATTAACGCCACTCCACTGTCGATATGCGTGCGATCAATTACTTTTCTCGATTGTGCCGTGAAATCTCCAACAATTTAATCCACAGAATCGGCGCTACATTTTTTTTTGCGTTGGAAAATAACTGCAAAATTCTGGCACGATGTGATAGTAATTTTTGGAAATTTGAAAGACATTTTGGAAATTAGTTTAAAGTAAAATAAAACTGGAAATTGCATGGAAAAATGGAAAATTCTTTTGAAATTATTAACGGTTTGAGAACTACAATAAAATTAAACTAATTCAGGGAGTATCTTGAAAAGTACGCACGGATTGTAGACGTAGCTCCGGTAGCTAAAGTAGTCACTAAAATAACAACTGCAGTAAATTAACGAAATAAATTAATTTCTCGTCCAATAAATTCTTGTTATAGTAATTTAATTTCGTCGTAAGAAATTAATTTCAACGCCGGTTGGACTAATACGTGCTGACTGTGTTTTTCCTATTTCAAAATGAATGCTGCTCGTTTGGATAAAAAGGTAACGGGAATCTACGTATGATAATTGATAGCTACTGTGATAAAATGAATCTGGTTTGCTCTTATATACGCGTAAATATAGTTAATCTTGCCAGTAAAGGTGAGGAACAGAATTGCCACTTTAGTTAGTCTAACCAAAGTCACCGGAGGCGCAAATAATAATATTATTAGATTTATTTTTGATATGGGCACTTACGACTGGCTGACGATGACCCGGAACGCGGCATACATCCAGCCGCAGTTTGCAGCATAATTACTAATCCCAATATGCACGGGCACAGCATCGTCTCTTTCTACGATTATTACGATAAAATTAAATTGCTTACTTAATAATTATTGCGTGAAAATAGTCAATCTATACATTCGTCTATATCAGGCGCGAAGCAATTCCAACGTTGAAATCCCTCGTCAGAAATATCATATAGTTTAATAACATTTTTTGAATTAGCCTTAGATATTACAGATTACCTCCTTTTTTATATAAAACTTACGAATATGAAACATTTAGATATGGATATCAGATACCATTTTGTATTTATTTCGGCATGTTTCACATAACTAGTTTTACACAAAAAAACTAACATCCGAGACATACTTTTTCATGAAAACACCAACATAATTATGTAAAAAAATCGAATTGGATAATGCGCTAGAAGCATAAACGGAAAACTGACAAGAGCGATAGAAATTGCAGAAGAGCCAGCATGGACAGCATTAGCGACTACTAAATGCATAACAAGTTAATCATCGCCACGATGGCAAGGACAATCATGGACGTCGACATCCACGCACTTCCCGGTGAATTCGCGTCTTGCAAGGGATCTGGAGAGCAATACTTCATCTGCCCTGCAAAACATATAAATTGTGAACCATCAGCATGGTTATTTTACTTACAATATGATATTTTCAGATGCACAACAATTGCACTCAAGTGAACTACTTTACTTGAACGCAATAGATGCTGCATTCCAGATCTACTGCATTCAAGGACGGTCATTTGTTATAGAAAAGCGCTGCAAGTTAGGACTTTTAATGCACCAGCAGCAAAATTGCTGTGCATGTCGACATGCAGTTTTCAAACAAAAAATCTTAAATTAAAAATCTGTGTTTTCGTTAACGGAGCATTTGGCTAATGAATAAAGCGAATGGAAAAATCGACACTTTGACATAAACATTTTGTATTGTTTTAGAACCAACTGCAATGGTCAGGACAGTGCAGCAACAACGCATTAAATTCATTTATTATTTTTTAAAAATTTATTATTTGACAAACATTCAGAAAAACGGCAAAAACAAGTTAGGGAGACCTCATATACGCACCACCAATTACGCACTGACTGCCGCTTTAGAAACAGGCATGTCGACATGCAAATAAGCGATAAGAAAGACATATGCATGTCCACAAGCAAATAAACAATAAAAAAGGCTTAAATCAACTCAAATTTTAGTACGTTAAACTTGTCCCTGCTGCATTTTGAAATACCTAAAAAAAACGTCCTTAGCAAAAAATCTAGTTTCTGCTCGCTTCCTATGTTTAAGGTATTAAAAAGGACTAATATTCCCTTGAATCGAAATTCGTTGTATAGTTTGGTAGCTGGAAAATAGCGCTTTACTTCACAATTGCATTACCTGTTGCTTTGCTGCATGTCCTCATGATCATGATCATGCACATTTGTCCATCTAAGCAGAGCCTCCCAAGGATCTGGAAATAAAAACGCACACAATAATTTGACACGTGCTATCTTTATGACTTTTAAATTGGAAATTTTTCGATTATCTCTTACCCTAGAACTGGTCCAAAATTGCTGTGGGTCCTCGCAGCATTGCAGACTGTGTCGAATGTTGCACTTTATCCATTAGCATGCCGTGCGTGACATTGCCACATAAACCACTGTCACGCATAAATATGAACACTAGCAGTGTTTTTTAAATGTTTTAAAATAAAACTTGGCTGTCGACAGCCATAAAACAAAAAACGTCAATGATTCAAACAAAATACCAGAAACCATTTCAAAAGCACAGATAAAAAAGTCGAGAATTGCCATTACCAAAACTGGCTGTCAAAATCAGCTTGGGCGCAACGGCTCTGAACGTGAACTTGCGGTGAACACTGAAACTGCCATGCAGCCAATTAGAAGCACCATGAAAGTAGTCTACAGTGAGCGTAGTCGGCAGCAAAATGCAGCCACCACGTGGGCAGTGTCAGGTATTTTGTCGTTAACGTTTTGCCTCCAACCAGGTAAACTGGAGCAGTTTGTTTTTTGTTTCGAAGGACTTTTGCTTCTTTTTGCGATTTTTGCTTTTGAGGATAATTCTTGTCGGTCGACCAATCATGTCCTTGCACAGAAACTATGCCTTTGATAACTGATTACTTAACAAGGTTCTGCAGAAAAGCTTTGATGCTCTATAACGGCGACACATGGATCAAAATCGCTTTTTAGGTTATGTGGCGAGGCGAGGCGATCAATGTCGGTCGACCGGCAAAGCTTTCGCTTTAGCTGCAATATCTTACATTGTTATTTGCAATGAACCAGAACCGCGACGGTGTCGGGACTGTTGGCAATTAACATGGGCGGTCGTAGTGCTGATCTTGGAATTTGGCTGGTTTATTTTTTTATTTTTCTGGAATTGTTTCTTGCTAAGCGAGATACTGTTTACTTACATGACGGTCGACCGACAAAGCTTTTGTTCTTTTGTTCTTCTTGTATTGCGTTTGCTTCTGTTTAACGTTTTGGCTAAACAGTTGCGAAGACGCGGGTACGAGTTTGGAATAAATTTTGTAACTTCGATACGTTTTCGTATTGATATAAATTATTACATAAGATCTGCTGCCAAAATCATGCCGTCGGCACATTTTATGATAAACGGCTTAACATTTGAGGTATGTTGATACAGTTTAGAACAAACTTTTTGACGAGGGAATCCAGTCGGCAGTGTATGTTAAAATCAACCAGAAAACGGCTACAGTGCTTTGAGTATTAATTTATTAGTTACTGCGATGCAGCATGCAACTAACCGGCACCCGGCGTTTCATAACACAACACGTACAACTGTTATAAAATACGTGGGAAAATTGTTTGGCGTAAGTACTCGTATGCTGTATCTGTTGACGATGGTCTGATGTGTTTTTATTTATAAATTGTGGCGGTGAGGGTTAGTCTAGCTATTTCGGTGTAAACAGTGCAACACAGTCCGCTGAAAGGAAAACCGCCCAGCCGGGCAACAGGCCCTGACACTGGTGCTGCCCGATTAGTTATTACGAGTAAAAAATAATAACAAATGTATACGCGTGTCAGGCGCACTGGGGCCTGGATCGGTGACATGCGGGAAGTAGAGTACAGCCCGGCCATCACCAAACTGCCATCGCGATCACGCCGCACTCTGTACACATGTGTTAATACACATGCGCATGTGAATTACATTTTGCGGGCGTAATAATTAAATGATGGGCGTGACAACGATATGGGCCGGGTATACACTATACTGCAGGTGTACCGCCTGAACGGCATCATTATAATTATACAAGTATCGGTCGCGCTAGCGCGCGAGCAGTTGTGTTCGAGGTATGGAAAAATGAAAGAAATACAGTACAAAATACACTTCGTACAGCAATAAAAACGAGTTTGAGAAATATTTCAAATATAAATCCCTAGCGAGGCCAGCTACGAAAATATTATAAATATGTGAAAATGCGGACAGTTTTCAAGCTTTCCGCTTAAATTCGACCAGTTTTATAAAAACTGAAAGCCTCCGTAATTTTTCTTTTTGTTTGCCTTTTTCACGGTTCTTTTTCCCGTTTTTAATGTAACTTTATATTGTCGATTCTAACGAACTGAAAACTTGTATTTAAACGGTGATAAAATGGATGGAGTGGGATCATTTACATGATGTCCGTAAAAAACCGCTAAGCCGATATTTCAGCGCAGAATTAATGGAAACATTACAGCTAAAGTTTTGGAAGGACAGTGGTTAGGCTGCCAGAAGTACCACCGGCTAAATGATTTTTCACCTGGGCAGTTCTTCATCGACAGTTAAAAGTTTTCTTTTCTTCGATAACTCAGAGAACATGTTACGTAATAAAAATATGTCGTTCGCATATCAGTTGAAATGGCACGCAGGCAAAATAGGGAAAGAAACTTGTGGAATGTCCTTTGTAATTAAATGATGGGCGTGACAACGATATCGGCCTTGTATACAGCAGGTGCACCGCCTGAACGGCATTGTTATAATATATGTGGAAGTAATACCTAAAGTGCTGTCATTTTTTACGTTGTACATAAAACTTTGTGGATAAATTATTATTTGAGAAAATAATCAACTGGGGAAGATGAAAACGTTTAAAAATATTCATACTGAATCATCATCATTTTTCATGCTTATTCATTATAAGTAGTGTGACCGATGTTGCTGTTCTGCGTCTGTTTAAAAATATTCTATTCTTAATAATATTCAGCATCTGCGTTATCGTATATAGTACCGCCCGCGCATGCCCAACCCGGACACTTTGGATTTATCATAAATCCGCAGCTCTTTCATTTCCTATTATAAGACGTTACTGCGTTGCAGTTGTAAAAAGATAAATATCAATCTGCTCAGAAGCTATAAATTGCGCAATGCAAATGACATAAATAAATAAATAGACGAATATGTCAATATAATATTTTTATAAAGTATTATTATTAAATACTTTTATCGACAATATTTGGCATGCAACAACCGTTGCCGGCCAGGCTCCACGCGGTAATCGCAGCGCGTAAAACCAGTTGTCGTCGTAGTGTGCAGTTTGGTGTACTATCACTGAACTTCTATTAATTTCCTTGCATGTGTGCGTGCTACATTTCCGAATCGATTTCTGTCAGTAACTCTGCATCTGAATGATTTTGTAAATCAATTTTGCAAGTGCATATGCTGCGTAATACGTATAACCGATGACAGCTCATGCTAGTATAGAGGTATCCAGTGGACACTGGACGGTAATCAATGTGTTTATTTGAAGATCCAAAACCCGTTTGCAATGATAATAATTTTTAAATTGGATATTAAATTAATTTCGTACCCATACGAGTGTTATAACCGAAACACGATGGCTACACATTTATATCACGTATGTGCGTGTTATACGAGCCGTATACTTGTAAGTTTACTAATGTACCGCTACGGTAAAGTGAAATCAATCCTTACAGTAAAACGATTACTCTGACCTTAGTCGGGTCTAATAATATAAATTAAAAACAGAAAAATGCAACGGGTAATAATTTAGGAAGAGAAAAAAGCAAAAAAGAGGGGACAGCCGGGAATTGAACCCGGGACCACCCGCACCCGAAGCGGGTATCATACCCCTAGACTACTGTCCCGTTACTATTCGTCATAACATTTCTGCCCAACAACAGCGCATCAGTAATTTTTAATTTAGCCACTCTGTGGCACTGTGCTCTATGAGCGTGATAATTACCCTCGTTGCAGTGCAGGCTCGACTTACCCAATTTTCTCCAAATTGCCATGTTTATATCCTGATAAAAAATGCATCGCAAAATTGGCACAATAATAATTATTACCGGTATAAGGCACTATTATATTTAAAAGAGACAACGGCTAATAAACAGAAATCACTGTACGCAGAAAGTCACCATTTCCCGTACACAGATATTTCCGCTGTACAAGCCGGTCCGGAGTTGGAGCACGATAGAGAACAGCGAACAATGTAAATCCATGAGTTGCGCCAATTGTAGTGCAGTGGCTATCGTCTAAACGTTAACATAGCGCGTATTCTGCCCTAGTTGTACCTGTACGTGCTCTAACGCCGGACCGGCTTGTACACGCCCAGTGATTTATTTCCTGAGTAAGGCTTTATAGTTTATACAGTGAAAACTACAAATTAAATTTTTTACGCTAAACTCTCCAAATTAAAACCAGTCAAGCCGCACCCTTTTACGCGTTACGTTCATTTGATATGGCTGATGCACGTCAGATATCGATAATGGGTAAACACAATAATTTTGTATCGTATAATCAAAGCAGTTATCAATCAAATTATCAAATATAGTTTTCCTAATAATCTGTCGTGAGACTAAATTAACGATTGCGCTAATTGTAGTGTAACGGCCTTTCAAAAATACCAAAAACATTTTCCAAGAGCCTTAGAAGTCTCCCAAGCGGAGCTTAATAATAATATACTAATACTAATACTAATACTAATACTAATACGAAATGCTTCTCAGAGACGCAGGAAATTAATCACCCAGATTATAATGTGTCTAAGTGATCGTTTTTTGTTGGGACACTAATCGGAAATGGAGAGCTGCGCGCGGTCTGCATATAAAAATGCGTAGGTGCATATAATATTACATGTAATCTAAGTGGCATTAGCGGCTGTTTGCATTGAACAGCGCCGCGTGCATTTGAAAACCGGTATCATCTTACGGCGGATACGATTAGCGTGTAGTAATCCCGGCCCGTATCGATACAGTGAAAAAGGCCCGGCATATACCGGCATGCGTGGCTGAACGGCAGCGTGCTCTCAACCGGAAGCCGAAATGCAGCGAATGGTGCGGAGAGCGGTCGGCCCCGCGGCGTCACTTAGCGTATTAACCGCACACTGATACACCGATCACATAGCGCAATGCAGCAAGGACTCGGGATTACAACGTAGCACACGTTCATCTACCACAGCATGTACAGCGCGACCACTAAACCAACAAACTGGGGCTCGGGTTTTCCGCGTTTCTCCACCTGTGCAATTAATTTTATTAGACGGAGCGATTAAATTGCGTTTGACGAGTAATTAAGCGGCCGATCCGCATCGCTGCACCCGTTATGCGCCGTGTATCCCGACGGCTAATTGGCGCTGTATGGAATATATTGGTATTTTCGGGATGATGGGTGCACGGATGAGCGGCGATGGATAGCGCATCCCCGGCGCAATTAGCGGTACGTGTATGCTGATCGCGGTATGCGCGACTGGCGCTGTATAATACCCTTGGTTATCTAATGGGGATGACGTGCCAGTGGAGCGTCGCGCGCAGCTCCCGTCTTATTCCCGCGGTTGCTCCTTTCCCTGCACGCGTCAACTTCCGTCTTCTGTCGAGCGGCGTTGTAATTAATTTTCCTGGATGACGTTCACTGTCACAACGTGGTTGTCTTCTTAATCGTCATTTTTCTCCGCTGTTTAACCGTGTCGCTCGCGGTATATTGCTACATACACGGGAATTTTGCTGGCGTGCTATCCCGAAAATTATTTTGCTGTTTCTGTGTGGTGTTCTGTAGCCAAATGATTTGTATACGTTGGAGAGAAAGCCGTTTGTGGGTCCCATATCTAGTTATATACTGAAATTGTTATGAAGTGGATGTATAATTTAATATATTTTGTATCTAAGTACATGTATAAATAAATTTTATATATGCACATATTTTGTCTATATTTACTTGTACTCTGTAAATGTATATTTATTTCTATATTTATTTGTGTATAAATATTTATGAATAAATACTTCAGAGCCCCAGCATTTTTCTAAAAATCCTGGAATGTGGTTTTCCAATTGTTAATATTTGTTATTGAAAAAAGGCTGGTGTGAGCGTTGTTTAGTCAAAACGATCTTCATAATAACTATCTACCTAAGAGCGTTTACTTGCAACATTTAACTGAGGCCGGACCATTTAATGTGCCTTTAATTTTGCAAGCAGGCGTTTAATCTGTTTGGAATTTTATTTCCATTATTATTGTTAATTCAGTGCCGATATTTTATGTACTATTTTATTTCATTATCCTTGATATATCCTGTTATTGCTGTTATTAAATTAATTATTATTCTATATGATTTTCTTATTTTGAAGTTCTTAACGTTTTATTTTCCTTTTTATTTCCGCTCCAGTTTATACAAATTATTTGGCTATAGAATATCCCACAGCAAATGCGAGAACGTGCGTGGTAGCACGCGAAAGCGAAAAATCCCGTGCATGTTGTACGTCTGGTACCATGTACCGCGTTATTTCCCATTTAAGTTACAGGGTCGATTAAATGTCGTATAGCCGCGTTAATCAGGGTTGCACATACTGTTGATGAAATACTCGTAATAATAATAATAATAATAATAATAATAATAATAATAATAATAATAATGATAACAATAATGAAGTGTGGTGCACCTTAATTGTAGATTATCCGGCACCGGCGTATTTTATTTCCCAAGCTCGCGCTCAGCTGATCCGACCGACTTCTCTATATACCTCACCTAAACGCTCAACACAATGCAGTCTCCGTCCACCTCCGCCACCGGCGCCCCCCGCGTGCGGTTGGCCCGCGAGGACACCGACTTCGACGAGCTGTACCGGCAGCTGGACGCCGCCGTGGAGATGGAGGCGGCCGTGGCGGAGTTGGCGCGTCTGGAGATGCAGCCGGCGACGTCGACGCACACCCGCCTCCGCCACGCCACCACCGACGCCCGCTTCGACACCGGCGTGGAGGCCGGGCCCAGTACGGAGGGTCTGCGTCTGCCGGTGTCCATGCAGCGCGCTGAACACAGTGTTGACGCGGGATTGGTGCATCTCTCGCAGCGGGAGGCCGGGGGACCGTCCGGCGGGATGCTCCCGGCGCCGGTCGGGCTCCAGACGGCCGGGATGAAGGACGGCGGGGGGACGCGGTTCGATAGCCATAATATCCTGCGGTCCGAGGTAAGGACAATTCAGCGCTCCTGTCTTCCTTCTTATGCTATAAATTTAATATTATCCTATTTTTATATACAATATGACCATCTATATACGTATTACGTATATGAAATTAATATATAATTTTTATATCAATAAATGCTTATGCAAATAAATATTTTTAGGGCGATATTTTTCAAATAAATAAATATTTTTAAATAAGCAAGTAAATGATATATGTCCGAAATAGGTTTAAGCAGATACAGTAACAAATTATTATTTTGTAACTGAATTTATTTTAATTCATCATATAATAATCTACATATAAACAATTTTAATAAAAAATAAATTAAAATTTAATTTAATAAATTTATTAAATTATAAATAAATAAATTAATAATAATTTAATAAATTTAGGAACTGGAATTTAAATACTTAAATTTTGGAAAAATTAAAATTAATTAAAATATTAAATTAATATATTTTTAATAGCAGAGTGATTTGCAAAATTAACTGACTAACTGAGTTAAACAGAAACAGGATGAAGGGGAAATTAAAGCGGTGCATTATTTCCGTAGAATATTATAGCAGTGTGATATCGATTGCTAATAGCTTAATGACTACTGCTGTAAATTGAATTATGGCTCGTTAACTTGAAATTAAACTAGGAAAATTGACGTCAGAATTTGTATCGTCAGCCGGGCGTTCCTCTGTTTAATCGATAATCCTGGGCTCGCATAAATCTTGTGAAATAATAATTATTACGTAGAAAATTATATGCGCTTTAATAAAATTTGTTAATTGAAGTTTTTAACGGCAGTATTTAAGACATGGGTCTGTTGTGTAATGGTAGCTTGTTAGAGATATTTCATGGGCGGTTGGTCATGCGTCAGCGGCCGGGGAAAACAGTGGTAGCCCGAGCGGAACCGGCTGTGTTTTTTTTCTCTGTCCCTTTCGTCATGCATATCATGAATCGATACACCGCATCATTGGCAGGAAAAAGCCGGGTCGGGTACTCGTATAAATGCTGAAAACGGTCGTTATATCAAATGAGGATAAACGAGCAGTGGGAGCGGACGAGTGGAAAGCATTGTCCCGGCGGGAGAGATTAGACAATTAATTGCCTCCCGACCCGGCGCAATGCTGAGCGGCGCATTACGCTGTATATGCCGCGCAGCATGTAGCGGGTGATTATTTTTCTTTGGCTTGACTTTTGCTTGTTTAGTGATGCTGGACGGCGCACTAACGTCACATGCATATATAAATATAATATAGTTTTATTCCTAATTAAAATACGTCTGATTAAAATCTCAATAAAGTGCTCATAAAGTTTTTTTTAAAATTACAGTGGTAAGTAAATTAGGTACAGTGGTAATTAATTTTTTTTAATTTCTTTTACGATGCTGAAATTCCTGATAAAAGGATAATACAAATGAAATAATGAATTTGTTAACTGCACCAATTATTTAATTCCGCTTTCGCCAAGCTTGTATTTTCCCGTTTTTACTCTTAAATAAGATTCAATTAAATCCCTGCTGCAGTTTCGGCAGTGACTGAATTTCTTTAATTTCCCTTTTCATGTCCCAGACTTCCGATTAGCGTAATATGAAAATAAAGTAATTAGTAATGGCATTGATTAAAATCCAAGACCGGTCTCGCACATATTGCACATTCCCCGTATATATAAAATTTTAATTAAGATTTATATAATTAAATCGCAGCCGGAGCTTTCGGAATAATTTAATTTATTGAATTCTTTAACAAGGTTGGAATGAAAATCAAGGCACTATATTCGGTTTACGTCATCGGCTACTAAAATTAATTAACCGGTAATGCATAAATAAGGAAAATTAAATATAGAAAACAATCATGATAAAAACCCTGATGATTGCGTGAGCAGCAGACGTTGCGGGGATGGTCCATTGCCGCAGCTGCATCCGGCCGGCGGATGCGGCACGCCCCCACGCCAGGGTATTAGCGCGCCGACGGCCGGCGGAATGGGGGCGCACGCACAACCGCGGCCGTCGCGTTTAACCGCTGCGTAATGGCCGCACGTCAGCGCGCAGCCACTCCAAATCCCGGGACGTGCCTATTCCCGGTGGCCGTCTCCTGAGAGGTTGTTTGATGGATGCGCACCGGGATTCTGCATTCAGCCGCGCATCAATCACATTACAGCGACATTGCGCAGACGCGTTGCGAAATAATTAGCGTCATTAACTAATCATCCCTACGGAATCGGAAAGGTCGTCTGCTTTAGGATTGAAAATCTTACAGTTTCGGGCGGTTCTGGAGATTATCTAGAATTAAATGAAATTTAACGTTAAAATTGATGTTTATTTTAAATTTAAATTCCCCAATATTTTTACCGATCCCGTTTTTCTTTAACTTTATTTCTCGAATAAAGTTTTTTTTAAAGTTTACTTCCCGAATTTTTACTGTTGCCAATAATCACATTAGAAAAAGCCGATTTAGGTTTCGATATGATTTAAAATAAAAATAAAATGGAAATTAAAAACTAGCTCTTACGTTTTACTTCCCGAATATTTTAGCAGTTCACAAAAAGAAAGTTTTTATAATTTTTAATTGTTTTCATGAATCTAAAATCATCTAAAACCATCTGAAATTATTTCTGTAATCCTGAAAAATAGGGAAAAGTTTTATTTAAGTTAAGCTGAAATCCTGGAAGCGCGGTTTTGATTTTGCAGTGATCTGATTTGAAGCTTGAAATGTGAAATGTTTGAAATTGTGATTTCAACCGTAAACTGCTTTTCCGGATTCTGGCAGACGGTGCTGTCGTGAGACAGTTCCAGCAACATTGATCATCGCGCTCAAATAGTCAAACAGATAACCGAGCCAAAACATCGGCTCAGCGTGTTGGTTTTACGATTAGCACGGGGATTTACTGCGGAAGGGAGATTGTAACGAAATTATCAGTGGTTTGTTCAGCGGTGCAAATGCTAACCCGATCGGTTGACACTTTGCACCGGCTGTTGCGCCGTCTGAAACAATTATGCAACAGTGAATTGTTGCGTACAGACAGTTGAACAAACGATACCGTGTAAATATTGACACGGTCAATCATAACATAAGCAGCGCTACTTGTCAAATGGCAACACCGGCGATTTTTACGGCGGGAAGATAGTTCCATAGGGAAAAGGTATGCCCGGTTATCGGTGAACGGTTTAACGGCGTCGCGGCAAACAACCATAAAAAAAGCCGGATTCTGCAATTGTTTCCTGCAACCGCGCACGCAGTGTGTTAAACTGTCAGAAAAATACAATCTAGGATGAATTTGAAAAATATACGGTTCTTTTCAATATCACGCAAACAAGCACGGCTTCCTCAGACCCAGTATCTTCGTTTATACGCAGTGGATATGTTCCTGGTACACACTGCTTTTTGATATTATTATTCAGTTTCTGGACGGCAGATTGGCTGGCCGAAATGCAAATTTTTCGTTCCACTTTGTGGAACGGTTATTTGATCATGGATAAATAAGTTTCTAGCGCGGGAGATGCGGCGCTCCCGCCCGCGGCGCCCAGCGGCGCTGGCGTACACGTACAGCGGTCTGCAGGTGCTGCGGATCTACCGGCTGGCGCTGGTCACCAGCTTCGAGTCGGCCGAGCACTGCCGTGCACCGGAAACGCTGACACTGACCCGCTTCAGCTACATCGTAAGTTCATGATCAACGCGATCGTACAAGTCAAGGTTAGGGAAGCGCCTGCAGTATATATGCCAAAGGTCATCATTATATATATGTTTTTTATATATACCGATACGCTAAAGGTCACCGTCTTACATTGGTTTCGTTATATATACCGATATGGTAAAGGTTGTCGTTATATATATGTTTCGCTATATATACCGATTGCCCAAAGGTCACCGCTAGATATATGTTTCGCTATATATACCAATATGTGCAAAATTCACCGTTGTAGATATTTATATATATATGTTTCGTTAAATTAGTATACCGATTGGCCGAAGGTCACTATTATTTCCCGTTATATGCACCGCCATGCCAAAGGTCACTGTTGTATATTTTACACGTGCATCGATGCACCACTGCGATAAGCAGGAACAGTAGCGCCGCGGTCAAGGTAGACGACCGCACATTGACCACCGCTTTATCGCGCCTGTCTATCGGATATCGTGTTACCCGTTAGTTCACGGTCTGATCGTAGCAGCGTATATTGATGTACGGTTTTATAGAGTAATCACCGTGTGTTGAAATATTTTTCCACTGAATGTACGTTGCTGCGCTTTGCTACACTGTAATAAGCAGACTATTGTGGAATTGTCAAGTGGAGAGGGACGTGCATTTTCCTCTTCCATGTGGAGTGGTTGTGTTGCACAGCACTAACTGCCAACTCATTTGGTTACTTAACCAACGCACACGGCGTATCACTGCTCATCTCGCCATCTGCTTAATGGTTTTTCTGCGCCGAGATCCGCATGGTGCGCGTATTATGCGCGTAAAGGGATTTCATTAGGCCGATCTATCAGGCCGGAAGTGCGCGTCACGCCATTGATTGTGTGCCGGGAAGGGAAGAGGGAACAACGGGATGAACATGCTCAACATATGTCGAGCTAGCCAAATGTTGAAGGATTCGATTGTCGATGCATTGCCAACCGTAAAGATTACAGTGTATTGATTATGTTGGTTTAATCGTCTAATCCGTCTATAAAAATCCGGGCGGGAGCTTGTTAAGGATATACCGAAGTATGCGTAAGTGAAAATATGTACTTCGAATTTTTTTCTCAACAAGCGATCGCTTTCGCTGTATATATTTTCAACAACAAATCCGCGCGTATAGCCATTTTCTAACGGTACGAAGTTTTTAAAAATAAATTCGTGCTTAGTGCTTACTTTATATTGACCTTTACACATAAATGTGCAAATCAAGTATAGCAATCGCGCCCAGAAAACATGCTATTTATCAGAAAAATTTTAACTGCGATCTGTTCGCCTTGTTTAACGGCGTGTCAAATGCAGAGTTCAGAATCTGGATATTTGGCGTAAAAGTCAGAGGCAAAAGTGAGGATTATTTAAAAACATTTTGTACCTTTAAAAATCGAAATACGTGGGCGATGAGTTCGTCAAAGTGTACAGCCAGAGTGATCGGTTGTTGAGAAAAGTCGAAGTATGTATTTATACGACACATGTATAATTATGATTCAACGCGCGCGTTTGGTTTATTGATTGAATTGAAAGACACGGTAATATGTATGAAAACACGTGACTCATATCCATCGTGTTGGTAAACAATCGCGCCAGCCTCGGGAAGCGAGCAGGGACAGGCGCCGGGTGAGTCAGTGTGACACACGCCTGATTCACGCTGTTCACGGTCTGTTTTCGACGATGTCTGCTTCACTTGTAACAGTCTACTTATCATCCACGAAACGTGCCATCTACATACTGTGCTACACGGTATTGCTCCCGCATAATACACCGCATTGTGTCCGTCCGGCACAGATGACCGGTTTGATTTCTTTCGTCCACGCGGCCGCTTTTCCTCACTGCCACAATTCTATGCAGATTACTTCCTGCTTGTCGTTGACAGCGTGCTGACACGGCGCAAATTGTTAGTGCTGAGCGCGGCAGTTTTCAGGATCACGGTTAATGGATTTTCTCGCCGCCAGCGCGCTCATCGTCCGCGAAAGCCTATACGGCTTTCTACCGAGCTTTTAATTTCCTGTTATGCTTCTCCGTTTTCATCATCTGATCCGTGTGTTTTTCTCCACTTTAATCCATTAATCCGTTAATTGGAATCGCCGGGATGGTGGTGTGCTTCCATGTCTCCCGTCCCGTCGGTGGCCGGCGCCCGCGGGCGGTCGAGCGGGCGCTGCACGCCATCAGCGCCACGTCGACGCGGACGCTGGCCGGTTGGCGGCGCCACTGGCCGCCGGCGCTGCTGCAGCGCTCGGCCAGTCTTCTGCGCAGCCGGCGCTTCCGGAAGACGGCCGTGAAGGAGGAGGGTCCAGCGCCGCCGGCCGATCCCGACTGCGCCAGCTTCCGCAGTGATAGTTCGCGGGCGTCCGGTTCCTGGCGGTCGCAGTGTTCGCTCAGCGCATCCGTAAGCGAATACGGTTTACTAAAGTAACGGGCTGAGTTGTACGTACACGTGACCGTATTTCATTTCCGGATAGAAGAATCCCGCACGAGGTTGTGATTGGGTTTTACTTTTTAGCGCAGCTGGAGACGCATTTCTATGTGGTTAATGTAATCTCCTGCTTCGCTGACTGTACACTGTGCAAGTGTGCAGTTGTTACTCGTATTTAATCATTACACCGAGGAAATAGCCGGCATTTTCTTGTTCGAAGTTTCTGTGATATGAGTATAACGTAGGACTTTGATAATTTATTGTTTCGTTGCATACGTACATATACCTAATTCACACTGCGCAAATCAGCGTTTCTCTGTTCGAACCCAGTTCCGTCGATTTATGCGCACTGGATGCGTTCGTTGCGTTGATGTTGCACACCGTTTGTGATTTTATCGTTACGGTAGAATTTTGAACCGCACTTGACTGGCTGATTTCCAGTTGTTTTTACCCGAATTTTAAGCAATATTACCCAAGTCAATTAATGGTGCCCTAATTAATAATAAGTACTAACTGATTAATAATAATATTTGATATGATAATGTACTTTTTATTGTGATAGTGGTATTACTGATTTTGCTGCACTCATTACAGGAAACAACCGATCTCGTCAATCTGCCGGAAGAGCAAATCTGGCAGAAGCGTGATGAGCCGGCAGTCCTCCAGCAATCCGCGGACGCCCTCGCTGTGGATTCCTTAACCATGGGCACCCCCCGCGGGAGCGGCCTGACCATGAACCCCCCGTCCGGCAGCGCCCAGGCCCGCCATTCCGCCGACCGCGACGTCCCGGCGTCGGCCCGGACGCGCCCGGCCATCGCCACCTCCCAGTCGGAGCACTACGATCTCCAGCACCGCCAGACCCTGCCCACCAGCGGCACCGGTCTGACGCATCTCCTGTCGCCCGGCGGCCTCGACGATTACCAGTACGCCCGGCAGACAGGGCCCGACACCTCCTCCATCCGCTCCTCGGAGCGCTCCAAAGCCACGCAAAAGAGCTCAAAGTCGTTAACCCGGCGCCTGTCGTCCTTCTTCACGCGCTCCTTCCGCCGGAAACGGACGCCGGCCGGGACGCCGACGACCCCGGGGTCGGAGAGTAAACGAGTGTCGTATTCGGCCAGCGCCGCCAGTTATGATGAGCGACCCGGAAGTGCGGCCACCCGTCTCAGTTTGGAGGTACTATTCTATGACTCAATCGCTTTGTATGTCGGTTAGCAAGCCAGCGGTTTTTTTGCCGATGAGGAACCTCGATAGAACCGTTTAGTTGGGTACCTTAAATTAAAATCAGTAAATAAACGGTGCCCCCGTCGTTGTTTAGAGGTGCGATTCTATGATTCAATCGGTTTGTATTTCGGCTTCGGCAGCGGAATTTTTGCTGACATAGAGCCTCTTAGTAGAATACCTTGAATGAATAACCAAGACATTGATGGGGGTATGTAGGACTCAGATTATATTGCCCAACGCAGCCAGCAGCTGCTGCGGCTGGGCTTCTCCCTGAACATCGAGGAGGCCCTGGCCCAGGAGCCGGACACCTTCGTCTTCGTTCCGCTGACCGACTCCGGCTACTTCTCCTCCGACTGCGACGACCTGGAGAAGCTCCCGGAAGTCAGTCTCATGGAGCTGGAGGAGGTCCCCCTCCCGGATTCACCGCCCCGCCCCACACCCCCGCCACGTCACACCAACCCGGCGTCCCAGCGCCACCGCCCAACGGCCCTGCGCCCCCACAGCAACCGCCTGTCGGACGGACATTCCCCGGTGACGCACCCGCTGATGCGCCAGACGGACGTCGGCGGGAGTCCGATGGGCAGCCCGGTGAGCTACGACGGCGCGTCGACCTCCGGGGGCCGTCGGGAGACGCCGGGACGACGGCTGTCCTTCATCGAGGGCACCTCCGTGATGGAGAGCATCAACCATCTGGCCTATCCCAGCCAGATGCTCCTGGAGGAGGACGACGGACTGCCGCCGGTCAGTCGGCGCGCCAAGGAGAAGCTGCGTTTTAAACGCCACCCGTGGAAGTGGATCAAGAGCAAATTCTAAACGATCTTTCAAGGAATTTTCACAATATTATTTATGGATAAATTCGCCCGGTGACATATAATTTTTGGGGAGGTGTATTTATTTTTGATTATTCTTTGTGGAGTTTGGAGGCGGCTGCTCACTTGATTCATTTACCGGTAGCTCAAATCTGCAATGCTTATTTTTGTTCAGCCGGCGTCTAATGATGCCGGTGACCTTTTTCCATTTTTATAAACGTTTGACTGGTTTTGATCCCAATTCCCAACCGATAGATATTCTGACGGCGATGATAATTATTATTATTCTCGTATTAACCAACAGTACCTTGCTCGATGTATTGCACGTATAACGTTTAATAAAGAACGTCATTTGCGTGTCCGAACTAGAGTTCGCAAATCGTCAAGATTTTAGTAGCGAAACGGAAATTTTCAGCCTATTGGAAATACTTGACGAAACTTGACTATTTATAAATTTCGGAAAAAAATAACGAAGCTTAGCAATAACGGAAAATATTTTGCTTACTAAAAAGCGAAACTGAGCGAAAAATTTTAAAAGAAAAAATACTTACTGAAACTGAGTCTAAATTTTGCTCATGTAGACTTCAAACCAGGCAAAAACTGTCGAAGGCAATAATTTACTGGAAGAAAATAGCCTAATATCGCTCGTAGCTGACGGACATATTTGTTTAAAAACTGCCAGAAATTTTAAACAAAATTCGAAAAAATAACGAAATTTGTAGCGAACGAAAGTAGCAGTACTAACGTGTTCGATTAAAAGCTGCAGTGCCTCCTTTAGCTGGCCGCCTATCGTTTCTCCTGATTCTAATACGTATTACACAGCCCCCAAATCACGCATTTTGATTCCAGCCGAATTATTCCGCGCCAATTGCGCGGGGTCTGCTACGAGTAGTTAGTAATATTTCACTGGAGCAGACGATCCATTGACTTATAGTCCATACAATATTTAGGCTCAAAATTCAGTCATGAAGATTTCAGCGAAGCAAATTTGTGACACAAGCTAAAAAAATTGAACTCTGAACGTTAACAAACATCAAATACTAACTGTACGGAACGATGCGTTACATATCTGTTTCGAGCGGGCAATTTCGGGAGCGCAAAAACGTGCGACATTTTGCTTTACGATGTGCTTCCATTCCAGTCTGTAACTTTACTTTGCGGTTTGCACCTTACTGCTGCCTATATATGTATTGTTTACCGAATTCTGGCTTCAACTTACAGTAAATAAAAAACTTACTGTAATTATCGATTAATGTAAAACAGTTAATTAACGTTAATTAACATTTAACGCTACCAGTCGCAAGTTAATACCGTATTTGCGATAAGCACTCGACCGATGCCCAGACTCAAAGGCACCCGACTCAGAGGCATACTGCTCCGCGCTCGTAAGGGATGTCCGCCTGTTTCGCTTTGCGAAAATTTCACGCAGGAAGGCGAGCACAGAAGGGGCAGACAAAGGGCATGTGTAGGCAGAGCAATTGCGCCAAGTATAGTTGCTGTACTTGGAGTTGGTGCATTGTATGTAATCTTCTGGCTTGCTAGTTTGAGTTGAGTTCCTGTGGAAAGGTTTCAGAATGACGTTCTCTTTTAAAAAGTACAAGTCCAGGCGGCCAAGTGTACTAAAAAGTATTTGGCTATTATACTTCTGATTGTCATCGCTAATGACGAACACGATCAGGATAACAAGATTTATGCTCGGTTTGATTTAGACTTGCATAATATGGTACAGAAAAAATTCAAAGCGAAATTTCGTTTTCCCTGTTACGCCTTCGTACGTTTGTTCTGAGTGTTTGTCGGAATATCGGAGGTGGTATCAACAGGAAAAGTATTGCACTCGCTACCGGTATCGGTCATTTTTATTAAAACTGAATAAACGTATAATATTGTATTAGCAAAAAAATCTTTAAGCAGATACCGTTCAAAACAACGCTTAAAAGTTCTGCTTTTCAAATAACACTGTGCTGTACAACTAAATGTGAGTCTGATAAAATTTGTTGTTGTGACACTTGCAACAGCTGACCGATAGAGGATTAATCGGGGAATTTCTCCCTTCTCCTATAAGTCTTCTATTGTTGCTTTTCTCGCATGTGCCTGATATCTACCGGACTCCGCATAGTCACTTTTGTGAGTCGGGCCCGCGCCTTTGGGAGCAGGCTATGTCGTAGAGAGCAGCGTCTTAATTAAGTACTTTTTAATTACTTTTTATGGCCCCTGCGCCCGGTATGTGCGCCTGCGCCCCAGATCGGCGGCTTATCGCAAATCACGAAATAAACGACACCCTGTCTAGTGTTGGGTCGGCCCGGCTCGGCCCGAGCAAGAGGGCCGGGCCGTCGTTAACACGGCCCGGGCCGCGGGCCGATCCGGGCTGCGGCCCGACATGTCCCCGGGCCGTCTTGCAGCACAGTAATATTTCACTCCCGGATGTCATTATGCAAGCGGCTACAGCGGGTATGTCAACGGAAAAATAGACGGATTTTCGCCTAGAAACGTTTAATGCTATGAAAATTAAGAAAAACTCATCGAAAAACTAAATTTCAGTAAATCTAAACTAAACTACTAAATTTCAGTAAATCCCAATGAAGTTTTTTTGTTTTTCTAAGTCTTTTTCCATATTTAACGTCCACAACGGGCCACGGCCCGGGCCGAGGGCCGCGGCCCGGCGCGGCGCGGCCTCCCGAAAGGGCCGGGCTGACTTCGGCCCGGGCCTTTCGGGCCGCGGCCCTGGGCCGGGCCGGCCCAACACTAACCCTGTCAGCGAATTAATCAATACTCGGTATTGTATACCATTTACCCGCAAAATTTTTAATTCTAATAAACCCGTTATTAATTAATTAATTTTAATAGATATTTTAACACGTCGTGGTAACTTGTAAGGAAGGAACGAAGATCCACGGAAAATGGAATTCCACGGTGGAATTCCGTTTTCCAAATCCGCGCTCCAAGCGACTTGCTTGGATTTGGAAAACGGAATTTAAGGAATCCGTGGAATTCCAAGTTTCGAATGGAAATCCAAACTTCTGTATTTGGATTTCCAAACGAACGAAAAACTTACGAAATTATCGATATTAACCCGGCAGTTTTTTGTTTTTTTCACTGTTTTTCCATAGAAGGCATGCCATTTTCAGCAGTTTTCGAATTTTTTTGGGTATGGAAACAATGTCGAGAAAACATGCACGGTCTGAATTATAGCCATGACAGAAAATATAAGCTCAGTGCTAGTGCATTTAGTGAGTGCAGATTGCAAATACAACACTGTCGGCGCATCCAGTTATCCCGGCACTAAATAATGGTTAAGTAGTGCAGTGCACTACTTAACAATTATTTAGTACCGGGATAACTACGGGTAGTAATAATTTGGAAAACAATGACGCTAAATTAATGACTTCATCTATTACTTATATACAAGATTTCAAAGCGGATAAATCAGATTTTTCTGTTATAATTATGTTGTTTTGCTAACCGTTATTAACTTATTACTATAACAAAAACCGAAAATGCAAGCACAATGAGATGTTACACTGAACCAAAATGGCATACGAGGTTTAACTCATGATATGGGATCTAAAATTATAAACGAGATATTTTTGTGTTTAAGAATAACTTTCTACGTTTTATTTTTAGTAAGATTTTTTTGAATTTTTCGACTGTTCGTCGTTTTATTTTATCCAGTAAAGATTTGTACCTAGTAATCAGTCGTTAGTACGCTTATATGCTTCAACAAGCACTGCAGATTTAGTACTAGTGTTCTAGCAAGGATGATAGTCGGTGACGTGTAGTTAGAATCATGCTCGAAACTACGGATCTGCAGCGAATAACTAGATAATATTAACTGAAATAGTTATTAATTGGTAGCTACGTTACATTTGGTGAATACCTGTATGAAAAGAAAGCTATAAAATGGTTTTCCTTTGAAAACTGTAAAATCCTTGGATTTACGAAAATCCATTTGGATTTCCGGAAATCCACGGAATCCATGGAAATCCATGGCAATTTCCTTTCCAAATCCTTTCCACGGGCCCGAACCCGTGGAAATTCGTTCCTTACTTGTAAGTTATGTTAGAGACTTATGCGCCCTACGCGCACTTTCTGGTTTACGCTACCAGAATGTGTTTGGATGAGCAATTAACAATAATTATAATGTTAATAATTAGTAATTAAGATTGGACACGTAGCAGTGTCGACGATACCCGATTGGCGGTGGCAGTACTTATTAATGGATAATTATTGAGGGGTACGATTACGGCATATCGCAGTGAAATGTAAGCATTAAAATATGTGCACATTAGTTTATATAAGAAATATCTAAATTGGCGACTTTGACACTTGTAACCGACCAAAACGTCCGGACGACTAAGACGTCCGGCGGACGTTTTGGCCGCTAAACCGACCAAACCGTCCGGGGGCCAAAAAAACGTCCGCCGTAAATTTTGCCCACCCAAAATATTTTGCGTTCTCGGTGGGAACTGAAGCTCCTTAGAGCTTTTTTATCCCGGACACATTTGTCAGTACCATTTTAACCCGGACACTTTGGTCGGTGAACCACTTCGGCACGGACACTTTGGTCGGAGTACCATTTTAGCCTGGACAATTTGGTCGGAGTACTATTTCAGCCCGGAAACTTTAGTCGGACTACGTTTTGCCGCCGGGACACTTTGGTCGGAGTACCATCCTATCCCGGACACTTTGGTCGCAAAATTATTTAAAGCCCGGGCACTTTGGTCGGAGAACCATTTTGGCCCGGACACTTTGGTCGGAGTACCATCTAATCCCGGACACTTTGGTCGGAAAACCACTTTGGCACGGACACTTTGGTCGGAGTACTATTTCAGCCCGGACAATTTGGTCGAAAAACCACTTTAGCCCGGACACTTTGGTCGGAGTATCATTTCAGCCCAGACAATTTGATCGAAGTACCGTCTTATCCCGGACACTTTAGTCGGAAAACTATTTTAGCCCCGACAATTTGGTCGGCGTACCATTTCAGCTTGGACACTAGGGTCGGATTGCGTTTTGCCGCCCGGACACTTTGGTCGGAGTACCATTTTAGCCTGGACAATTTGGTCGGAGTACTATTTCATCCTGGAAACTTTGTTCGGACTACGTTTTGCTGCCCGGACACTTTGGTCGGAGTACCATCTTATCCCGGACACTTTGGTCGCAAAATTATTTAAAGCCCGGACACTTTGGTCGGAGAACCATTTTGCCCCGGACACTTTGGTCGGAATACCATTTCACCCCGGACACTTTGGTCGGAGTACCATCTAATCCCGGACAATTTGGTCGGAGTACCCTTTCAGCCTTGACACTTTAGTCGAAAAACCACTTTAGCCCGGACACTTTGGTCGGAGTACCATT